TAACATTAAGGTTGTAAACCAGCAGTGGTTCTCTCTTTGTTCTCTCCCAGTCTCTCTCTTTATTCTGCACCCTGATTTAGTGTTTGCACTATTCTAGTAGCTACATTGTTGAGCAGACTTTAATGGACTGTAATTAAGTTTAAGACCATTCTTCTTGGCTGCCCTTGGTTACAGTGACTGGCACCATGGAACATTATCACTCTTAAATGCAGGCTGTGGTGTCACTGGCAGATAGCCATCTTCACTCTGTCTTTAATTAAAGCCACCAGGTAGCCTGCCATCAGAGAACGTTAAACATGCAAGCATGTGGAAACAATGAAAGAAAGAAAGGAATCCTACTGTGCACTTGAGAACATGTTAGTAGGTGTGAGTATAAAAAGTGAAAGATAGAATTCATGTGCAAATTATAATTGGATCTGATAAAAAAAAACGAGACGTAGCAGAACATTAAAGGAAAATAATTACGTTAGGGTATATAGATCTTGTTGCTTCTAATTCACCTTTCATCTGTTAAGAGTGCAGGAAACCGATTTGTCAAACCATACTGTCTTTCTTATGATCAAAGCAGGTTCCTCATAGAGCAAATGCCAAAAATATTCAAATAAATAAAAGGAGAACATTCAGTTTTACATCGCCAATGGCAACAACAAGAATAAGAGACAGACTAGAGGGGGGAAAAAAGCAACAACTCAAGCACATCCCTGTGTTGCTGTTTGAACATAATACCGCAGTGTGCCCTGCACTGCTTTGAACCACTTTTCATGCTTTCCCCCCGAGGATGACAGATCAAGGTAATTCACTCGGAGATTGCCTTTCTCTTGATCTGAATGGCAACAAAAATGAAATGAAACCCCCTTCAACAGTCAGACGAATGAAAGCCACTCCCCGTTGCCAATAGCCTAGCGTGAACGGGACAGTTTATATGCACTTCATTCTCCTCAGTCTTGCCGGATGACTCTGAATGCCGCACTGCTTAAACTATTTCTACATTCAGAGGCCAACGCTATGAAAAAAGCACCAGTGTAAGCTATTTCAATAGCCATGTCCACAGATAAGAGAAAGATTCTAGCTGCTCTTCATTAGCACTCTTGACTCCTCAGGTCTCCGGAAAGTATGAGGCCTCATGAGGGGAATGTGGCCCTTTGAATGAATGATTATAGATTATTTTTCTATGTGGGTGATGAAAGAACTGAATAGCACATTGACGGACGCAAATGTGTGCGTTGAAGGAGCATGAAAATCAGAGCTAATTACATCAGTTGGCTGAAGAAAAGTGAAAGGTCATCCTTTGGGGAATCAGCTCTGCCAGAAATCTGAACGGTTACTCAAGCTGGTTTTTTTATGTTTCAAAGACCTTAATGTGGCCTTGTTTGGTTATTTACATGTAAACTGTACACATTTACATATATAAACACATATAACAGAAATTAAAAAAAAGTTTTTTTATAATTAAATTAAATAAAAAGTTGTATTGACTCCACACACCCCATCTCATCTCCAGGCCTTTTATTTTATTGTTCTGTTTTAAATCATTAGGTTATGAAACGATACAAATTCATACTTTTCACCTGAGAAAAACTTACTAAGGTACATAATTGGACCCTAAAACTGTTCTGTACTGTTGTCCCTTTGAGGGTACATTTACATTGTTTGTACCTTCATGAACGAAAAATGTACCTGCACAGTATCTTCATTTCTAACAGTGTATAGAGTAAGAAAAACCTGAGAAAATACATAAGCAAACTTAATACAGTAAACACAACCCTTCATTTTTGACCTAACAGGTACGCCTTTGTCTGTCAATTGTGACTGTTTTGCGTAGTCATTTACCGCTATGCCATTCTCTTGCAGGTTGCAGTAGTTAAGGTTAAGTATAGCTTCAAATAAGAAGCCTTTTATAATAACCTTTGGGTCGAAAAACCCTAAATCTGATGAACATTACACCCACAAAAGACATTGGACTGAACAGTATTCTTGGTGCATGGTCGTGACGCGTTTGCTCCTGGACTGCCCAGCGTGGCAGCCTACAAGAGTCAATGTCTCTTACTGAGACCCTGACTAAAATCCACTGATAGCTAATGTTACAATGACAAATAATGATGATTCTTAAAAAAAAGCAGTCAACGCATCAAAATGTAATCAAAATGCATTCATCATTTGGTATAATTTGGTATAATTCATTTGGTATAATTTGATGATAAATATACAAAAATCATACTCAATGGAACAGAGCAAGACTCTTCATTTGTCATGTCAGGTGTACATGCATATAGCCAGGGCTGTCCTAGATGAAAGGCTATAACGTCAATAATAGACTACATGGCAGTGCATTCTGTATAAACATAGCAGGTTTAGCATGACTTGTGAACATGTATGAAAAATGAACAGTTAGAAGGAGGGTAAACATTATTATATTATTAATTAATGTAGTCCTTACTAGCAGACCCACTTCTTACACTAGGCAGAGTTAATATACTTCAATGCCAGCTATGGACTGTGTTATAGTTTATTTTCATTAAGGGTATATGACTGCAAGATGCATATCCTGCACTCATTTGGTTGGTCTTGATCGTGCACATCCTCAGAGATAAACACTATCAGACATTCTGTTATCTGTATCTTCTTAATATGAAGAATAACACATATTGCTATGATGAACTTTATTGCGTGAAATCAGAAGCAGTCAACGAGGGTCTTTTGGTCCTGGATAAGAGATGCACCTGTCCTGTCCTGTTCTAATTAATACAGCTTTCAATCCTCCAGATATGTCAACAAAAGATATGCAGACTACGATGTAAATAATGCTGCTCCCACAGCACCTGTGTGCACACATATGCACAGTGAAAATCAAATATGACAAGGCCTTAAGAACATGCTGTCAACCACCAGTGTTAACAGTGCTATTGCATCAGTCCTAAATCCTCTGGAAGAGCACAGTCTTCCTCCAGCATCCCTACAGAGCTGCTACACTATCAAACATGGCTGAGCTTTGTTTGTTGGATTAAAGCCTTGATCTTGCTCAGCCAACATTTTAATGCCATTGTTAACCATCTGCTAGCTGCAGGGTGCCATGCTATTAAAGGCGTGTTACAGACAATAAGCAGATTAACTTAATGTATCCCAAAACTGCAGCCCTGTTTTTTAAAGAAAGGCAAAAAATTGTCCAAGTCTCCCCAGATAAAATCACAGACATTCACCTTAGCTATCAAAAAGAATATCAATGGGGAAGTCTACACTTTCACTGTTCATCTTAGAGCAGCACAGAATAAATTACTATTAAAGTATCCTAAATTCTATCTCAGTTTTGCCACAGGGCTATGGATTACAGCAATAGCACTACCATCCATGCTAATTAAAAGGAAGGGAGCGAGGGCTCTGTTTTCCTGGGCAAAATAATGACTGTGAGTGTGTGAGTTTTTCACATGGCTGGAGGGTCGTACTTCTGCTTTAGCATACCTCTACTCTGCATTAGCGTTTTGTTTGTATAAGATGTTATACAGACTATTGGATCTTTATCTCTTCTTGTAAATGGCTCCATAAAGTGTCTTTATTAGTACTGCAATGGATGTATAGCCAGACTGCAAAGAATTATTCTGATGAGATATGTTGTATCTTTTATGAATTGCCAGTGAGAAACACCAGTAGTTAGTTTTAGTTTTAAATATCAGTCAAACATGTTGGTAAGCACTATTAAACAAATTTATTTATTCACTCATTTATTTTACTTTTTAACTCCTAGAACCCTAAGTATGCACTTTGCATGGCCTTATCCTATGTTTCATACGTCAGGAAAAGGGTAACTTACAGATATGATATACTTAGGATTTATGAAGCCTAACAAACTGCCCATAAAGCATGGGCTTAGGGTTCTATGGGTTAATAGAACAGAATTTAGAAGCAGGCGTGCTGAAGAAATAGCATCTGTTTAACCATCATCTTAAAAATGAAAACAACTTTTGGTCAACTCATCAATGATTGAGGGAGTGATCCTTTATGGCACTCAAAACCACTTTATATGGAAGTGTGTGCTAAAACATTGCTGTATTTCCTGGTGCAGAATTTTGCTGCAGCTTTGGACAGCTAGCTAGGCTGCATGGGTTTGTTTATTCTAGGAAACTTATTTGGACTATACCTGGTTAAGACTGATACTGTTGCCTCAAATTGCCAGAATCTCACACACACCACCAAATCACCATCTCCAATGAGACCAGAGTGCAGAGCTGACAACTACGACTGTGACTTGTGTCAAGTTACTATTTATCTTATTACTATTATTCATATTATTACACTTATTTCCCCCTGGAAGTGTGCAAATTCATAAAAGTGTAAACATGTCTGTTATTCGAAAGGTTTTTCAGTTTTGTAAATATTTAACTTTTCGTTGTTATCGATTTTTACCAAATATTGGTTGTAGCACTTAAGAGTAGGGCCAATATGACAACTGTGACCAATACGAATACAGATTTTAAGAAGCTTAAAATATTAAGTGGCTAAAATTCTGATAACCAATATCTAATACTCTCGTGGTTTCAGTTAAACAACGCTTTAGTTTTGGTTTCTCTAAATTATCTTTTAAAATGTTTTCATAGAACCTTCAAGCTCTTTTTACAGAATTGTATGGAAAAATTACTGTAAAAGTTATCCTGATGGTTTAAGTTTAAAGTTTGACAGTTTACGTGTACTTGTTTTATACATTTTGTGTTCAAATTTTCTAATTGTCCAGTTCTGTGGTATGTTGCTAGGAAAGACATTAGCAGATAAAGGCCATCACTTAAATAGTCAAAAAAATTGACAAGAAACATCCTCAAAAAAAAAAAAGGTTTTATTGATTTGGTACAATATAAGGAAAGCCAATGGTTTTCAGTGCTTTATTGATAGAAATTTTCCCAATAGCAAGAAATCTGCAGGACCTTAATATCGGCCACTATCACTGGCCAACCGATATATCACTAAAGCCCTAGTAAACAGGTCACTCATTCATACCCTGTGTCTTTTTGCAGGTACATATGTGACCAAAGTAACGGCGACAGATGCAGATGACCCCACTTATGGTAACAGTGCACGAGTGGTGTACAGCATCCTGCATGGCCAGCCATACTTCTCTGTGGATCCCAAGACAGGTAAACCCTGTTACACGTCAATGTATCTCTATAAATTAAAACAATCCTCATAACAAAAGTGTAACATCCCAAAAATAAGGGTTGGATCATTTATTTTTGTCAAACTGAAGTCAATGCACAGATTTCAGTTTAATTACAAAGTACTGACCCCATTAAACAAATGGAGAAAGACGGCTTGATTTGATTGCACTGTGGCCAGTCAGGGCAATAGATTTGTATCACAGGGCAATTCTAAACTCTAACTCATTCTGAATAGTGGGAAAGCAATGGACATGCTGTCACCTCAATAGCCCCTAAAAGATCAATGCTCACACAAGCAGGTGCAACATTTCACACAGCGCACTTTCTACCAAGAGCAAAATACGTCAGCTCGCTTATTGGAAATGGGTTTTCTTTGCCTTTTTATGCTGAGATAATGCTACTACCATCAAATGAAGCAGCAAACGCATGCCGTTTTGGAAGGAGCATCTGAGGGAAATGTTTGAGAGTGTTGACAGAAAGTGAAAGAGTCTTTAAATGATTCAACTTGGATTCAATAAACTGTGATCCAAAAGTAAAGGGCTTCAAATAAAACACTTCAGACATGATTTAGATGAAGAGTTGCAAGCATATCTACACTGATCACTGATCAAAGACCCATAAACTCTTTCCTCCTGGTAAGGATAAAGCAAGATACTACTAAAACCTAGAGTACATAGAGTACTGATAGAGTACTGATTCAATATCTTCTGATCACATTTTCAGTGCAGCCCAAGGGATTCTCAGTGGAACATGGCAAAAAAAAATCTAGATCTGGGGACAAAGAGAAAAATCATGGTTCATCACAGCATGCTGTATCAAAACTGTTAACCTCTGCACACAACAAAGTGCCAAAAGAGACAGAAACAGAGAGCAAGAGAGCAAGTGTGTATGTGTGTGTGTGTATGTGAGAGAGAGAGAGAGAGAGAGAGAGAGAGAGGAAAGGACAGAGAAAGGAAAAAAGAAAACATAACCCTCAATCACTATGCACTTCACAGAGCCGTATGTTTCAGAGCTCCTCTAAAACTGATGAGAAGCGAGTCAAAAACAGAAGCCTTTGATGGTGCTCCCAGGCACACAGACCCAGGAGATCAAACGTGACATCCTTTTTCCATATTACCTGCTGCCAGTGTTGCTGAAACACCTCTGTGACCCTTTTAACCACCCACAACCATATCTAATCTGACCTATGAGGTGCTTGCTTGATCTGTAAAAGCTTCATATGGCATTGGGAAAAGCATTAGATGAGCTTTTTGTATTGAAAAAGGCATTTTTGACGAGCAGCAAACCATACAGTCTCAGCTCATTCAGACCACAGAGAATGAACTCCTGGTGGAACAACCTCCATTTTACAGACAAAGAAAAACCTCAAAGGATCAGTTCAAAGTTTCTTCCCGCTGAAGTCTGGTCTTGTTTGAAAGTGTCATTGGAAATGGAGATTAAGTGTAGTGTTTTAAAAGCTCTTGGTTGGCTAATTTGGAATTTAGAGCACATTTCAGTTTACTATTTGCCTTTCTTAACCCTCTCTTACCCATTTTTTTTTATTTCCAGTATGTTAATTTCACCAAATAAACAAGCGTGTTGTCTGTAGAGGAGGTGTCAACACATTTTCACTTAAAAAAAAAAACAAAACATGAATTTTGAATGGGATGCCCAGACTTTTGCATAAGACGGTATATTCCTGCTCATAGTGTTTTCAGAATGGTAGTTTGCAACAAACAAAGCAGACATCTACAGATTTTCAGCTTTGTTAGATCATGTTCTTTACCTCAGCAACATCCCCCCTCAATATTTGTACGTCCAGTTCTTCCTCATTTTTCATCTGTTCCACACTTTCACCAGATCTCTATCCCATTTCTGAACACTTTCCCCTTTGCTACCTCTTTCGCCCTGCATTCTAATCAGATTCTCCCAGTTGTGTCCCCACTCTCCTCACTTCTCTCCCTCTCTGGTGTAAAGGTGTTATTAGAACTGCTCTACCCAACATGGATCGGGAGGTGAAGGAGCTCTATCAGGTTCTCATCCAGGCCAAAGACATGGGGGGCCAGTTGGGGGGTCTGGCTGGGACCACCACCATCAACATCACCCTGAGCGACGTTAATGACAACCCACCCAGGTTCTCCAAAAGTAAGACATTACACCCTTTTCTGTTCATAAACTGAATTCAGATTTGATATATTAACAAATGAGAGATTTTGTGCAGTCCAGAGTAATAAGCAGAGCTCGATTTGAGGGAGGGGTGGACGCAAGGGGCCATCCCCCCGTAAAGCTGTTATTCCCCCACTATAATTCCCTTTGGATTAATGTCAATTCATTGTAAGATGTTACAATGTAAGATGTTTATATTCATAATCAGATGCAATTTATATCTCAAAATAGGTTCTAAGAGCACAGTATAAAAAAAGAAAGTAAAGAAAAAAAGCAAGTGTGAGATGAGAGGTATGAAAAATAAATAATGTACATACACTATAGCATATTTTTCTATTTTATAAGTGGCTCAAGCAAATTAAAACTGCAATCATGATTACTTGTAGTTACTTGTAGTATAGCACCAACATAGCATACAGATAAAAGCAGAGAAATTCATGAGTAATTTCTGTGACATCTTAATTTTGGTTTTCTACTCCAGCACACTGATTCTGAAATGACTATGAGGTTAAATTGTGCAGATATCAGCTTTAATTCAAGGCTGTTTATTTGTGTATTGTGTTCAACATAAAGGGGACATTTCCTTTTAATATATAGCATCCTATCTTTGGGAGCTTCATGTACGTGGATGCATAAACATAGAAAATGTACTTGGGTGCAATTCTCTAGGCAGCTGAGGACTACTCGAAGTCTATGACCCATACACATCTCCAGATGCTGGGTATCTTCCCTACTGATGCTCTGCCAGGCCTGTAATGCAGTCATTATCCCTTTCTGCCTAGTTCATAGGCTTTTCGCCTTCAGACTTGTCTTCAGTGACTGAAAGGAATGCTCAGTGGGGTTTAGGCTGGGTGACTGACTTGGCAAGTTAACTTTCCATCTTTTGGCCCTGAGAAACTTCACATGTTTCTGGCCATTGCAGCAAGGGTAAAAGCACCAACCACCAAGTTTAAAGGCATTTGGTTTAATCAGAGCAGTTAAGATGCTTCTGTTCACATCCAAATTCATCCTGCTGCTGCTGTCAGCTGTCACATCATCAATAAAGACAAATGAGTCAGTTCCACTGGCAGCCAAACATGTCCGCTATGTTTCACAGATGAGGCAGTACATTTTGAACAGGAGCAGTTTCTTTATCAAAATAGTTGGTTTTGACATACTTAATGTTTTGACTATGTCTCTAAAGGATATTTTCAGATTTTCAGCCTCAAGATGTCTTGCTTTAATGACATGGCCACTTCTTTGTTCATGTTCATGTTTAAAGACAACAACAGCAAATAGCGCATCTAGAATTATTCAGTGGCTCTCAAACTGGTCCTCAGGGACATTCCTCTTTTTTGCTCTCTCACTATGCAAGTTGGGTTGGAGGAAAAATATGGGCCCTCTTGAGTTTCTCTAAAGACTAGTCTGCTCTAGACCTTAAGTGCATGAACTACAGATGGGGACAATGTACAAAATCAACTGTTCACCTGAAATAGACTAATTAAAACCAATATCCCCATTCTACACTCTCAGAAATAAAGGTATTAAACTCTCACTGGGCCAGTACCCCTCTTGTCACTGTGGGGTTCTCCCTTAAGGGTACATCTCAGTACCTTTAGTCAGGGAACATAACTGTACCGGAATCCATTGAAATTATATTTGCAAGTTGTATTGACTCCACACACCCTGTCTCGTCTCCAGGCTTTTTATTTCATTGTTCTGTTTTAAAACATTAGGTTATGAAAAGGTACAAATACACCTTAGAATAGCTTATTTAAGGTACATAATTGGACATTCAAACCACTGTTGTACCTTTGAGTTTACATTTACATTGTTTGTACCTTGATAAATGAAAAACGTACCTGCACAGAACCTTTATTTTTAACAGTGTATGTCATTCTAATCAAATATGCTGTAGTACAAAGACCTAATATAGTGTGTGCACTATCCACTTTTCAACAAATCTTTTCAATAAAACTGTGTGGACGCTTTATATGTGTTTTATAGTTGCTTTAAGAAATATAAAAAAAAATGTATGTGGAAAAGAGAAACAGGAAAAGGAACTTGTCTGTACTTCATTCACTTTTTACTTTATTATTCTGTAAGTAGTAGAGCTGATTTATCTCTCTTCAGAATTAAGAGGTTATAATATCAAGATGTATTAAGACTAAATTAATAAAGCTTGCTTGAGGATATATAAAATAGCACAGAGGTTTAAAATTTTCCTTTCATTTAAATTCCAGCAGGTGTTCTCTGATACGATATGCTGTGACCTTCAAAGACAACATTTTTTTCTCTCTAAATTACTATTTGGACAGGAATAGTTTTAAATGTGGAGGTGGAATAATGTGACTATTACTGATGTTTCTCTGTAATTTTAGTCCCACCTGAATGAGTCATGTCAGTTATTTTTATGAACTGCTTCCATGTCAGTTAAGATTCTACTAAAAAAAAATAAATAACTGTATAAATAACTCCATCTTATATTTATTCTGTGCAAATTACCATATTAGTAAAAATTCAGTTACATCCTGAGTCCTTAAGTATGAAGAAATATTTACTTGTGTTCTCTGCAGCCCATTTACTGTCCCTATCCCAACCACATGACTCATGAACATTGACTTTGTCTACATGCAAAGATTTCTGCCGATCCGAGCATCACGTGAGGCCAGTCAGCGTTAGACGAGCAGCAGTGAGTTACCTGAGTTTTCAGCTGGCGCGCATGTGTTTTTAATCACTTCAAAGTGATAGCAGGCTCAGTAAAATGTACTTCACATGTCTTCATTAAAGAAGGGCGAGAGGAAGACGTCATGTTCTGAGACACATAAACTGGCCTCAATCGGACTAGTTTATTCCGATTAAGGTGTATACATGGACATATTCTATTCCAATTGAGCTATTACATTATTAACAGATTATCATGCTGCATGTAAACGTGGCTACTTAAACATGCAAAATGACAGTAAAAAAGTTAATCTACAATTAAATAAAATGCTTGGATGTGTTTTCTACTCGTAAGTAAGCTGAATGTCTTGTGAATGGAACTTCTTTTAGGTGAGATCACAGTGTATGAATCAAATAACCATCTCTGTAATTCATACTGAGATCACATGTGAATCAGTCATAAACATTACACACATTACCCCACTTCCGGATGTAAAACCTAATCCATTCTAACAACACTGAAGAAAGCAATCAGTTTTATATTTAAATTGGTAATTGGGACTTTCTGGATATCCTTCAAAATTAGTAAATTGCTGAAAAGTAGCTCATGATCTTAAGCCACACTCTACTGTAGCTGTGACCTTTGCAATTAAAACCTCCATTATATTTAGCATGAGTGATAGTGAGAGCTTGAGTGGAATATACTAATGCAGGCTTTTCACAAAGGGGTTCATTTAACCACCTCCCTTGTATTATACCATGTTTGGGTGCTCTATGGAAGGTTCTTTATACTATTTTAAAAAATGTCCATAATCCTATAATCCTATAGGATTATCCTATAATGTTTTATATGTGCATATGTGCATATTTTTAAACATGTGAGTATTTTATCCATGCTAATGTGCACTGGGACTGTTTCATATTTCCATAATAGTATCAGAAAAGGAGTGCTGTGGCAGGCACTGCATCCTGGTCTCTGTCCCTTGTGTATGTCTTTCTCTTGTTTGTCTCTTTTGCTGCATTGCTCTAATGCGTCTAATGATTTCTCAATTAGCTGAGGTGTTTTCTTCCAGCATGGCCACTGAGCATTATCTGCAGCTAATTACTGTGTTTGTGTGTGCATGTGTGTGTGGGTGCTACAAATGTTCTTATCATCATCGTCATCATCATAAAGAAATATTACAAAACACTAAACATACCAAGTTTACCAAATTGAGGGATTACATTAATATCTTTTATGTGAATTTTGGAAATGAACAAAAAAACTTGGCATGAAAAGCCAGAAATGTGAAATAAAAGCCTAAATATTGATAAAAAAAAAGGTTTTATTCTTGGGTGAGGTGGAAAAGTTGGTTTATAGATAAAAGAGAAATGCAAAAAGTGATGATGGAAACAGATTTTTCATATGAGTACTTACCTTTGAATGGAAATGATATCAATTGTATAGAAGCATCAGCTCTACATGCTTAGTACTCATTTTGTAAGAGTGATCATGTGTTATCGTACCTCAGGTATCTTCCACTTGCGCGTGCCCGAATCTTCAGCAGTGGGATCTGCTGTGGGCAGAATCAAAGCCCATGATCTGGACACTGGCAAGAATGCTGAAGTGGACTATAACATCATCCCTGGAGATGAAAGAGGAACATTTGACATCACCACCAATGAGCACAACCAGGAGGGCATCATCATCCTTAGACGGGTAAGGCTTAATTAAAGGAACACACACACACACACACACACACACACACATAAACATTTATATATATATATCGCTTTTGTAACAAAACATTGTATCTCCACTTTTGTCTTTTTTTTTATTTTTTTGTAAACAACTGGTGTCCTTTACATAGTGTGACAATTTAACAATGAAAGTATGAACAGAAATGGTCCAAAGCGACTGGGAATAAAATCTTGTTACACTGACTTACAATAAAAGTTAAGAACATTTTTTCCTCCTCCAACAGTGACAATATACGAAGATATCAGTGAGCAGTTTGCAAATCCTTTGCAAATCCCCTTTGCAAATACATCGCCATTTTGATCACTATGCAAGGAACAAAGTGTAGACAAGGGTCATGCCTCAAAGTCAAGGATGCATGGCCCTGATAGGAGATATCTTACTAGTACATAGTGGCATGTAAAGGTTCCTCTTTAGTGCTTAGTCAGCCACTTTTAAGACAGCTTTAATTAATTAATTAAGTGACCCTTATTAGTCCCACAACAGGGAAATTTCACTTCCGCATTTGACCCATCCATGAAATGAAACACCACATACACACTAGTGAACACACACACTAGGGGGCAGTGAGCACACATGCTGGGAGCAGTGGGCAACCCTATCCACAGCGTGGGGGTTAGGTGCCTTGCTCAAGGGCACTTCAGTCATGCACTGTCAGCTCAGGGGATCGAACTCACAACCTTCTAGTCACAAGACTGGTTCCCTAACTTCCAGCCAATGACTGCCCCCAGAAGGAATCAATTGTTTCTGCCCAGTTTCGAACCGGGAACTTTTTGCATATGAGGCAAATGTGATAAACACTACACTACAGAAACCACTCTCACTCTTTAGTCAGCTACACAGATATGTAAGAAATGGTAATAAGATTGCTACAGATTTCTTTTACAAATTCATCAAATTTAAAAATTATGCTATCAACATCTGTGCTTTCACACTAAGTATGCGCATGACTTACATTTCATTGCAAACTCTGGTGCCACAGCATCATGACCTCTCACAGCTGTTTCTCCAGTTTTCCAATGGGTTTTAAAATATTAAGCCCTTTGAATTTTTAGAAACAAAGGGCAAATTTCGGGGCTACTTTTGAAGGGAAAGAAAATAAAAAAGAAAAATAAAAAAGGAACAGTCCTCAGTGCCATAACTGAGAAACGCAGCCTACCTTGGCTGAATCCTTGGCTTTACGGACTACAAAATATACAGATGCATAACAAAACACAGCTGGGAATAATAATTAATGGGCAAGATTACAAACTAAACACAGGTGAGTGAGTTGACATGGGGGTGTTCATGTTGCAACATAGACATATTTGAAGTGACCAGCGCACTTTGAAAGTTATCTGAAAGTGGAGCTGCAGTAATTGTAGTTGTTTCATATTTGTGAAAAAAGTTGTTTTTTTCCCTATGACTGCCACTGTTCTTAATAAAACAAGCTGAACAATGCTATTTGACTTCCTGTGAATTTGGCAAATATTTAATGGTTGCAGCCAGTTTTCAGTTGACTTTCACTAATTTATGCCGATCTTTATTTACTGAATCACTTAAAAGTGCACTACATATATGCTTTAAGCAGGCAATCTGCAGACTTACAGGCAAGAAGATCATATTATTATTTACAGTTCTTGGAAAAGCCAGATGCCATGTTGGTCTCTGTAAGCATGACTAAAGAAACACGCTGGGCTGGAAACGGCTCTCTGTAGCCATATGTTTTCCTGTGCTTTGCTCTTAATGCTCCCAGCATGTATGCCTAGAACACACGCTGGTGTTTCTCTGTATTTGTGATGAACGCTGCATCTCAACCATCAGATAGCGAGAGACAGAGAGAGGCATGGTGTGGCACTCACACTGCTTTGGCTTTACACCGTTGTCTTAACTCATTCATCTCCAAAAACTAAATTTAGTATAAGGAAAAATGCCACAGAACTTTCATTGGTTTAAAGTGAAGATATTGTATATGGATAAACACAGACATGCAGCTATACTGTACATCTAACAGTGCATATTTAATTTTTTGTTATTTTTTTAACTTTTATTTACAATCAGTAGCAAAAATCAGTAACTAGTTCATATGACTAGGTTTAATATCATCAATGAACTGGTAAAAACTCACTTTTTCGATGGTTTTGAAAAATTTCTTTAGACTTCCGCTCAGGCAAGATCAGAAAATTCATGAACCAAAGGAAATTTAAAGGGGTGTTCCAGCCTGAAACTAGCATGTATTATGTTATTGGTCATGTAATGCAGCATTCTGCAGAGAAGTATCCTTCAGCAGTATCCAATATATAGCTATTTCATTTACTATCCAAAACCACCAATGAACCTACACTTCTTCTGAGTTTTACATGCAATGTTGATAACAGAAAAAAAAAGTTGTAAAAAAAATATACATATGTTTTCTTTGAGGACTATTTTGCTTTACAACATCTAGCATGTACCTCTCCACCATGAATGGATTTCAGGAAATTCATTTTAGGCCAAAAATTTTTCTTACAGCTAATGTAAAACAATGTCTCAGGCATCAGGTAGTGTATTCATGTCTTTGTTTACGTCGTAATAATTTTATTATGCAGAAATTTTGTAAAATGGGTGGAATTTCCCTTGTTCTTAAAGGAGGTCCATTATGGTCATTTTCACTGTTTATAAAACATGTTCCAAAAACATGCTGTTAGAGCCCCTGTATCTTCAAACCCCCTCTCCTAATGAGGGTGCACTGATTAGTCAGCTCACACACTCTGTTCTGATTGGCCAACCACCAGAGCAGGGAGCAGTTGGGGGTTAGGTGCCTTGCTCATAGGCACTTCAGTCATGTACTGTCAGCTCAGGGGGTCAAACCCACGACTTTCCAGTCACAAGGCTGTTTCCCTAACCTCCAGCCCATGACTGCCCCCAAAAGGCATCAATTGTTTCTGTGCAGAACCGGAGTTCGAGATGTCTTTTACGAATTCATCACATTATTAAAAAATTATGCTATCAACATCTGTGCCTTCACACTAAGTATGCACATGACTTACATTTCTTTGCAAACTCTGGTGCCACAGCATCATGGCCCCTCACAGCTGTTTCTCCAGTTTTTCAAATGGTTTTAAAAAATTTAAGCCCTTTGAATTTTTAGAAACAAAGGGCACATTTCTGGGCTACATCTGAAGGGAAAGAAAATAAAAAAAGGAACAGTCTTCAGTGCCATAACTGAGAAACGCAGCCTATCTTGGCTGAATCCTTGGCTTTATGGACTACAAAATATACAGATACATAACAAAAAACAGCTGGGAATAATAATTAATGGGCAAGATTACAAACTAAACACAGGTGAGTGAGTTGACAAGGGGGTGCTTGTGTTGCAACATAGACATATTTGAAGTGACCAGCACATTTTGAAAGTTATCTGAAAGTGGAGCTGCAGTAATTGTAGGTGTTTCATATGGCATCCTGCCAAAAGTTCTGCCCCTACACCACTGTGTCTATTATTACAATGGCGTCGATTCTGCCGTACCACTTTAAGCTGATAGTTAAAGTCAAGTAGAACAAGTTTGGTCTTTGTGGCTTTGCAGACCATTTATATGCACAAAAAGCTATATAACACCCCTAGGAGAGGGAAAAATCGGAAAAGCATAATAGGTCTCCTTTAGGCAAGCACATTTATATTGAAACAGATAATCGCACTTCCTCCATCCTTATAATTTACAATCCGCTTGAGAGATTTTTGGGAGCTGGATGTTTCTCTGCAGTATACACAGGTCTTTGTAACATAGGAGATTGCATTTAGAAGCCTTTACTCCTTTACCAGATGAAACCACACATTTTGCAATTAAAAACATTTTTTGTTTTCTCTACAGTTAATTTACAATGACAGAATGACAGATGTAGACCACAGTTTGCTTGTCGTTGGCCTATTTCTTTCCACTTTTGGTTTTGGGGGAGTAATCAGATACAGATACAGCTGGTTAATGATTTAGAATTTCCACTGCAGTCTACATAACATGATAGTTAGAGACATCTCTGTGAATAAATCTCACATATCTCTCATCTCTTCTGTGAGGTGCATGTAGTAAAAACAACAAAACCAAGAATAGCAATCGGTGTTGCTTCCCCGTGCACATACAAGCCCTTAAACACACGCACATTCATTCTCAGTGGCATAATGTGCGCGTACCCTACAGTTATTAAATCTTTGAAGCTATAAAATGCTTTGGTGGTGATTTCAAATTCTGTTTGTCAACACATCACTATAAAGAATCACAAGGGAAATGAAGAATGCAAAAGTAGAGCAAGTAAAAGCCTGAATAAAACAACAGTTGCCCGGCCTGGAAACAGCATCCAAATGTAAAAGGCAGAAAGATTAGTGTCAAATCTCAACTCTGTCACCGCCTCTTCTTGCCTCCATTTGTTATAGATCAATTTTTTTTTTGATTTGCTTTCCTCATAAAAATGTCTCATTTTTACTGATGAAAGCAAGATAGATGACACATTTGCCGTCTTCCTGTACTTGGTGAGTCTAAGAAATATTTGTTTCCTCACCCTTTGAGGAAACTAAAGGATTAGACACACAAAAGTGAAGGTTATTTTTCGAACCGTTTTATATTCTCCTTTTCTTTCTCTCTCTTTCTCTGGTGCAAACAGACAGTAAAAAAAATGTCTCTGAAACTTTTCAGTCATAGATTATTGATTTCATCACAAAGCTCAAAGGGCAAATCTGTGTACTTTGTTCTTTTCTATACACATGTATTCACTCACTGAGAGGCAACTATGTACCTGCGTCTATGTGTTCCTCAGTTCAGGGACATTTGGCCTTTACGTCCTTATGTTTGGCAGGCTTTAAATGGTCCCAGAACAAAATCCTATACATCCTCAAATTCTATACATGTTGGGGCATATTCAGTACAATGAGTACAAAAGCAAATAATGCTAAGTAGTACTATCTGTTCATGTAAATTCATGTGAATTTCCCTGGTGGTGTAACTGCCAAC